GCCTGGGCCCCTGCCACAGGGGCCGTCCTTCAGGAACAGACTGCTCCAGCGAAGGGTCCCCCACAGGATCACAAGTCCTGCCAGCAAACCTGCTCCAGCCTGGGCTCCTCTCTCCACACGTCCTGCCAGGAGCCTGCTCCAGCACAGGTCTCCCACAGGGTCACAGCCTCCTTCAGGCATCCACTTACTCCAGCATGGGGTCCTCCACAGGCTGCAGGTGGATATCTGCTCCAGCGTGGAACTCCATGGGCTGCAGGTGGAGATCTGCTCCACTGTGGGCCTCCATGGGCTGCAGGGTAACAGACTGCCTCAGCATGGTCTTCACCATGGGCTGCAGGGGAATCTTTGCTCTGGCACCTGGAGCACCTCCTCCCGCTCCGTCATTGACCTTGCTGTCTGCAGTCATTTCTCTCACATATTCTCACTCCTCTCTCCAGCTTCAATTGCTGTTGCCATTACACAGTTCCGTCCCCCGTCCCCCGTCCCCTCCCTGCTTTCTTAACTGCATTATTCCAGAGGCACTACCACCATCCCTCCTGGACTCAGCCTTGGCCAGCAGTGAGTCCATCTTAGAGCCAGCAGGCATTGGCTCTATCAGACATACGGGAGACTTCTAGCAGCTTCTCACAGAAGCCACCCCTGTAGCTCCCCTGCTACCGAAACCTTGCCATGCAAACCCAATACACTACTCTACGTGGTTTAAATCCCCGTGAGGAAAAAAAAAAGTTAATTAGTGGTTGTTATTCTTAAAATGCCTAAGAATTTTTTGAGCTTCTCATTTCTTGAGCGTACTATTGTCTTCTGCCAAATACATACAAGCTTAATTGAGCACTATATAGAATATGTGGTTTTCCAATTTAATAGACTTATTAGATTTCCAGCGTGTAAGAACCCTTTTCATTTATTTGCCAGGTATAATTTTGCATGCCTACACATGTATTATCTTGTTCATGATCACTTCGAGTTAAATGTACCTACTTACACTACATTTTCAGATACGGTCATATTTTCATCCATCTGCTTCTGAACTCCTATCTCTTATTTTCTGAGACAGGTGTATAATTGAAGATATTTTCCCAAGAAAGTGCACACCTTCAATTTATAGTGCAATGCTACTATCAAACCCATTCTTTATAAACTCAGTAAAACTTTTATTTTTCACTGACGCTGATGATTAAAAGGACTTTCACTCACACATCCTTTTCAGCTACCTTCAACATCTGTAGCAGTTAACTTAAAACCCAGTAACATGAATCAGTAGCACAAAATTCTTTCCCATACACTGTATTGTGTTAATCATAATTAATTTCACTTACCATCATAATATCAGTTCACCTTTTTTCCCCTCTTTGGATTCTTCTGTTCCTCAGGAATTTCTCTCTTCCTGACTAATCTAGTAA